ACCTGGCGCAAAGGATCGAGCTTCATTTTGTAGAGCTTGTTTTGATCTATTGGTTGGTACCCCATTTACTTACTTTCGTACTCACCCTGCCACGATTTTGCATGTTAAAATAAAAAGCGACATTATTTTCCGGACAACTTAATAGTTAATGGGGTGTGGCACCACCCCTAAAAAGCTGTGGTAGCCGCAACTTACCTTCAAACAGATCAAATAGCTGCGTTTAATATTGTTGTTACTGGTTAACCTTCTTATTTGAGTAGCAGAAATTTCATAAGAAAACATTTCTTCAAGAGCAAGATATAATCATTTTTCCTTACCATGCAAATGTAAAATACTGGTAAAATACTGCGAAAATATTGGGATACGGTAACACGCTAAGTCCACTACGTAATCGCAAAAGAAGGCGACAAGAATGTATACATTCAATAGCCTAAGCTCCCTAATTTACGTTAAAGTGATTTGAGCCTGATTGGTCTTCTCTAGCCTGAGATTTTGAAAACGAAAAATACAACAAACGAGATTTTGGCTTGCTCTTGATTCCTTAATTTGAAGGTCAGTTGAAGTAGGATTTCTAATATGAACAAAGAAATAGTAGTTCTTTGTATTAAGCGCAAAAAGAAGCAGTCAACTTACCTTTGAAACAAAGTAACATGTTTGAAAACGACCATCTCACTTAGGTGGTCCTGTGTTCGGAAACCTTAGAATTCGCTGGAACTTGAAAGGATTATTTTACTTGCTTATTACAAAACGATGCTCTTATGCTTTACAGATCTTCAATTATGCTTACTGCACGTATACGATAATGGGTCAAACATCAATGTGCTAGTATTTTGCATGACGGGCCTATTTGACTTGTTAACGAATATCATGTTATGCGAGCAGCCTTGAAAACGATCCCCCCTGCCTGATTCCTCAATACGACTCCCCATGTGTGGCATGCCACACCCCACGCTTGACCCTGGTCATGTATAAATCAGCACGTCTGGAAATCCTACTACACAAATCTCCAGACTTTTTTTGGACTTTTTATCAAAGGCCCATCCCATAGTAGCGTTTTATGCTGGAAGTTCAGGCCGTAACCCTACAGTAATAAAGAGTGGTTGGTGATTCGGTCCATACTGTAAGTCTAAGTTGAACTTCGCCCTATAGAATGAAATGATACCTCAAGCACGGCGAAAGCCGTGAAAGCAAGAGAGCTATTAACGATCAGACAGTGTTCACATTTTTCGTTACACCCTGTATATAAAAATTAGGTCATTTCAAAAGTAATTTCGCTTTATTCAAAAAGCGCCACATCTAATGCATTTAAAGAAACAATTTTTTGTAAGATTTGTAAGATTTTGGTAGCATTCGATGCAACGTTTCATCTTCTTCCTAAAGGTCTCAAAACAACTGCAGCTTAGTTAATGAGTTCGCGGAAAATTACCATCATGTGACGCATGCTTTTCGAAATGCTTGAGTTTCACAGAATTTCCAAATTTTTACACCGACCTTCCGAAGAAGCCCAGTTACATTTGAATAGAGCAAACCCTACAGGAAACAGCACAACATTTTTCTCCTTTCCATATCTCGCCATAATTTCCATGAAGTTTTATTACTAAAACCACCAGAGCAGACCCACGTCACACAAACGCTTTAAATACCAATAAATCTTTGAGATGTGAAACTTCCAAGAGGGAATTATGGCTTAACACTTATTTTACACTTCCGAGAGGAGATTATGGCTTAACGTGAGGGTTAACGGAATCAAAATATCTAACTTCGAATTTCCGGGTACAGCCCGGGGCTCGTTCGAAAACATTATGATGGGACATTGTTCAATAGTTTCCAAGTTCCGTCTGTTTTCAACCTGGGCACTCTTCGTATGTAAGGCCGTTGATACTGACTAATAAAGGACCACATACCAACCTGTACGGCACAAGAAGAACACACAAAACATTATGATGGTTTGATCTCCGAAGGCTCGATGAAGCGGAAACAAAAGACACCCTTTAAAAGAACAGGAAAAGCTGCATCGAATGACACTCGAGCTGCTTACCGTTTGACGTTTCACGTTTGAGTTGACCAAGTATAGAGTATAGAGTTGATAGCATCAATTAGAATTCTATTAAAAAATATGACGATTTATGGAAAAACAAAAAAAACGTTTTGTTCTTGTAGGGTTTGCTCTACACACTCGTTACTTGGACTCCTTTGAAGGAATGATATAAACATTCAGAAAAGTGAGACATGAGCATCTCAAAAAGCATGAGTCGCAGATTGTGGTAATTCGAGAGCTTATAATCTTCAGAAAGAGAATGAAATGCTGCATCGAATGCTATCAAGACCTCACGGCCAAAATGAACAAGTGATGCAACGGAATTAGTGCCGTTATGACCAGTTGGTTCGGGAACCGACCCTCGCCCCTGATTCAAGCTTTGCACGCACCGGCAGAAGTAGCAAGGCATCCTGGGGAAACTAATCAAATAACGGCTGAGCCAGCAAATCTGCAATGTTCGGTAAGGATTGACTGCATCTTCGAACTATGAAGGGGACCACCAGCATGCTTGAGTTAAAGATGCTGAAGGTTATCCTGTCCTTTTTGTAGCATTATGAGTAACATGGGATAATGATGTTGCAAAGAAAATAAATTCTGGTAATTGTCGATGAATTTGTGACGAAAGATGTAAATGGAAACAGCCTTTGCAAGATTTCGACATCTAAGATGATCAAATGGTAAGCATTAACTGTTGGGCTATTTTGAGATTTTTTGAAATCATATTAGCTGTGTGCACTATATTATACAGTGATCGCCAAAAAGTTGCGGACAAGCCGTCCTCCTGTCTTAATCGCTCATTTTCGGATAGAAAACAAAGATGAAAAATGACTGGATTGCATGAGGTTATAGAGCTCTTCAAAAGCTACAACGCTACAACCACACATTGCGCTTTCTGGAAAATGTGTATCCTAAAAATTTTATAAATCTTTTTTTAAAAAAAGTCCGAAAATGGCCGCGTCATAATGTCGCGGGCAATAATTCTTCAGACGCGAAAATTTTCTTTCAGGTCTTTTTTGGAGCAAAAACAGAAGTTTTCCGGACAGGTAAGCAGACTATATCATAGAGCTCATCGAGGACAACAATCAGGTAGTGGTTCTTCCAAGAAAAACCGCAAGCTTGAATTTTGCTTAGCTTTTTTTCGGAAAAGTGATTTCTATGTTTCTCTTTCAAAGCAAATTTCTTCACATGGAAACCTACTCAAGGCATCCCAATGGAGCGTTTGGTAAAATGATGCTCTTTGCCATCCTCTACCGTCTGCGCCCCGGAGAGGTTCCCATGTGAACCAGCGTGCGTACGTGGTGCGACGCTGCCTTTCGCTCTTTTTGACACGTTTCTCCTGAGATTTCAACGGAAGTGCCCGAAGTTAACACGTTCAAAAGTGCGAAAGGCAGTGAGACCTATGGGAACCTCTCTGGGGCGCAGACGATATGCATCGAACGCGTGCTGGGTTTGTTTGCTGAAGATGGCTCTTGGCAGCGCGTGCAGATGAACCCACCTGCACCACACCACTGACTTGCACCGATTTGCAGGCTTGTAGCTCGACCAGCAGTCGATTCACGAGCCTGCAGGTAGGGTCATTTGAAAGAGCGTGACTTCCTCGACACGATGGTTTGCAAATGAGTGAATTTTGGGGAGCCTCGGAAATTTTACGGATGGGGCAAAAGAGCGCAGCAGCTTCAGTGTAGGCTAAGCATTTTTTAGCTGATGTTGAACAAAGCTCCTTTCGCTACCACTTTCATCCTAGAACTTTGAAACTGTCAATTTTCTTGTAATAGATCCATTTCGAAGCTCTAGGACTGTTTTGATATTGATAAGAGCTTTTACAGCAGTCACCTTCAAGGCTGCGCTTTTTCACCCCATCCATAAAATCTCGGGGACTTCCCAAGCTCCACTATTTGCATACCATCGTGTCGAGGATGTTGCGCTCTTTCGAAGAAGCTTACTTGCAGGCTCGTATAATGACTGCTGGAAGAGCTACAAGCCTGCAAAGCGGTGCAAGTTAGTGGTGAGGTGCAGATGGGGTCATGTGCACGCACTGTCAAGAGCCATTTTCAGCAAAAAAAAACTCACCAGCACACGTCCGATGCATAGAGGAGGGCAAGGAGCATCCATTTTATCTGCACAGCTTTGTTAGGATGTTTTGAATAGGTTTCCATGTGAAGAAATCTGGCTTGAAAAAGGTAATCAGAAGTTTTTTTGAAAATAAAAATCAAAGCAATACAAAATTCAAGCTTGGTTTTTTTTTGAAAGTAACCACTACATGATTATGCACCTCGATGATCCCTGCATTATAGTACGACTAGTTGACTTACCCGGCTCCGCCCGGCCCTGTCATTATTATATTCGTAATCAGCATGCTCGATTACCCCCCTGTGCCAACTCCCAGCTTCGTAGCTCAAATTTTGCAAAAAATCGATAAAATTGATATCGATCGATGACGAAAAGTAGTCTATGACACCCGCCGGGGCCCGAAGTGTATGTGTGCCAAGTTTGGTCCGGATTGGTTCAGAAATGGAATTTTCTATTCGGAACATACGTACAGACATACAGACAGACATACAGACAAACATACATTCAGCTTTATATATAAGATTATCTGTCACGAAAACTCTGTTTTTGATCCAAACAAAAACCTAAAGGAAAATTTTCGCGTTCGAAGAATTATTGTCCGCAACATTGTGACGCGTCTAATTTCGGACTTTTTTTTCTTTCTTTTTTCTAGAAAAAGAATTTTGAAAATTTTGGAATGCATGTTTTCAGAAGATGTAATGTATGAATTGTAGCTCTTGAAGAGTTCTATCATCTCATGCAACCCAATCATTTTTTCATCTTTGTTTTCCATTTGAAAACGAGCGATGAAAAAAGAAAAGCGGCTTGTCCGCAACTTTTTGGCGATCACTATATGTGAAATTTTGTTCGAAAAAAAATTCATGAAGATTTACAACATGAAATAGAAACCGACCTGTAGATGCATAGGACAGGACAGCACCAACGATATTCTCACTGAGTAAAGGACTGTGCCATCTTTGTGAACACGGATCAGAACATTTGGCTTGTCGATCATATGTTTGTAAGCTTGTTTTTCGTTCTAAACGGAGTATTGTGTAATAAGGCATTCTAAATCACAGATAAAGAATGAGGTATGATGAGGAAGCAGGGTTTGGTTTGTCGAAAAAAGCAATAATCTAATCGTGTGTATCAAAAAAGCTTCATGGATTATCCATCAAAAGCATTACTTTATTCCATCTTTTTGTAACAAAGTGCAGATTAAACAGAACAGAACTCCATCAAGTGCCATATAAAGTATTTGGGAGCCAAAAATACTTAGCACGCATAGGAAGAAATTTCGCCTATATGCGCGGCCTCTGCCACTACTGGGCCTTTCACATATGTTATGCTAGTGCATACCTTGTGAGGACCAGTGGCCCATTAGGCTGTGTCCGGTGGCTATGCATCACTATACCCTTTAGCGCAAACAAATCCAACAAGCTACATCTTCTAACAGTTGCTTACACATCATTGAGAAATTGTCCACTGATCTTTTTCTTTGTCTACTTTACCTATCCATCATCCTTTACGATTATCAATATTAGCATTTAATGATGCATTTCTTTATGCATTTCCCAGGCATTTAAGCTTCTATATACCTGTACTTCCATACTTACAGAGGCTCCTGCTTAAGACCCTAGCACTTCTGCGAATCGTATGTACGTGATGAAAGCTTCGATAATGTGTGAGAGGTCTTCCCAACATCAATTGAACCACCAAGATAACATACTTAATTTTTATTTTACTCAATTCATCTGTTACGTTGTCCCACAAGACTTTTCATTTTTTAGGTTTTCGCTGTGATAAGTCATACACTTCTTATTCTAAATAGACATCAAAACCGTTCCATAGAGCAAAGCAAGCTCTGTAAGATGGTTATGCTTTTGCACAGGCTTCAATCCACCTCAAATTTTACCAAAATCTAAAGTTTCTATTATGCAATTTAGCTTCCTTTCCTCGCTCGGATTTTTCACGCCTAATTCAACATTTGAGCTTAACAAGGAGCTAAAAATTTATCATTGTACTTCTAAGGGTTGTAGTATAAAACTTTTAGTATGAGAACAGCACAGCATCACTTCAGTAAAAACAAAACTTTCCGTTCTCTTAATTTCTTGCTGAGGAAAAATACAGCAACAGCACATATGAGCGTCTGATGTGGAGTGTATATGCGTGAGCGAGCAAGAGATCTGTAGGGCTATTTGAAGAAAGATTCATAAAATCTCAACTTTCTGCGCATCCAAAACTTTTCAAATTTTGGTTTTAACTTGAGCTGATCGAAGCTGGTGCAAAAGCATAAACACCATCTTAGGCCCATATGCACGTACAGGAGGGGAGGGGAGGGGATCTGAGAGGGGATGCATCATATCTCGCTATTCTATGCATCTTTCTTCTTCTTTCTCTGTCTTGCTTACAGAGCTTCTCATACACTTGTGCCTGCGCATAATGGATGCCAGGTTACTTCCATACAAGATTGCTTCTTTGTCAATTTATGTGATCCCCAGCGGATCCCCAGGGAAATCCCTGGGGATCGCCTCTCATTTTCAGAGTGATTTATCGTCCTAAGAAGTCAATGAAGAAGCTGTAAAATTGTACTGAAGATATTTTACGGCACTGCTAAGCATATTTTCGACAGGAGAAATGGAATCTGACGGTTGTGAATTTTTCGACGATTCCTAGCTTGCCTCAGGGATTAACGAAGATTTCGATACCCTAAGACTTCACTTATTTCTACTATAAACATCTTTAAAAGTGCCTAACATATCCACAATTTCACGGCGTTTCACGTTTTCAGTAAGATAAATGGCAATGAAATTGAGAGGTGATTTCCTGGGTATTGGTAGCGAGATATGACGCACCCCCTCTCAGATTCCCTCCCCTCCCCATCGGGGATGTACGTGCATAAGGACCTTACAGAGCCTCATTTTGAATAGGTATCAGAACACCGTTCGATAGAGCTTTTTCTTATCACAGCGAAAACCCAAAAAGAAAAAAATTTATGGGACAACCTGTTATATCCAATATCATAACATCGAATTATACGCGAAAGTTTTAGAGACTTGAAGTTGAAGCTACCCTCTGTTTCATTAGGCCTAAGGCATACCTCGCGCGATTCCGGTCGCTGCGCGATTTGGCACAACAGCGACACTTCATAATTCGTCGTTAATGCGCTGTCTTTGGTCAGAACTTGCTCCATTTGCAACAACGTACACACGCTACCCAAATATGCATCCGAAAACGCGCACGATAAATTTGTAGATCTGGCAAATCGCCAAGTTGCGTGAAAGTGGCGATTCGGCCGAATTGCGTGAGGTATGCCTTAGGCCTTAGGGATGGGGAATGGAGAGTGAGCTTCGATCGCTGATTAGGACTGAAAAATGATTACAGAGCACGCTCGCGAGGGATATGCAGAGCCCAGAGCCCCTTTACAATCACCACTCCCACTAATATAGAGGGTAAGTGCACTCCTGTATATGTATTCAGTACTCTATTTTATCTGATTACTAGATGGCAAACCCGGCTCCGCCCGGGACCAAACTTTGCACACATACACTTCGGGGCAGGGAGCGTGTCATAGTCCACTTTTCGTTATCGATCGATGTCGATTTTACCGATTTTTTGCAAAATTTGAGCTAGGGGGCTAGGATTTTGCACAGGGGGGTAATCGAGCATGCTGATCACCCCCGTGAGGGTGATCAGCATGCTCGATTAGCCCCCTGTGCAAAATCCTAGCCTCCTAGCTCAAATTTTGCAAAAAGTCGATAAAATCGATATCGATCGATAACGAAAAGTAGCCTATGACACGCTCCCTGCCCCGAAGTATATGTGTACCAAGTTTGGTCCGAATCGGTTCAGAAATAAAAATTTCTATTCCGCACATACGTACAGACATACAGACAGACAGACATACAGACAGACATACAGACATTCAGCTTTATATATAAGATGTTGTGATTACCTTCGTATAATGGTTACTCTTGAGTAATGTAATGTAAACAAAAAAGTGATTGTTACAGAATTCCAACACAACCTGGAAAAATGAATCCGGCATCCAAATCTGTTGTCCAGCTGTGAGAATGAGAAAATCTGGAACTTCTTCTCCTTTTGCACCATATCTGAAAACGTTCCTTTTAAAGAAGTGAAAGATTGCGCTACAGCGAACCATGTGTATAAGCACCTCTGTATGATAGGAAAAAAGGGTTACACTAATTCAGACACGTCAGTCATTCATAACAGGTATCTCTATTGCCTCGAAGTATGCAGTCTCATTTCTTTGGTACGACTTTGCTATGCATATACGTAAAAGAGCAACCCATTTTCTAAGCCCTTGCTATGTCAGTAAAGTAGGGCCGTGCTTAGATGATATAAGTCTCCTGCAAAACGTTGCTCTTAAACAAATTTTCGATTAATCTCGATGGTTGAAAATCAACTCTGGCTTGTCTAGGCGAACTCCGGAAGTCAACAACGCGTGGTATAGTGTCGTTATTCTACAGGTAAATGTCAAGGTTTCAAATCTGTTAAACTCGACATTTTTGCTTCGCAACCAAATCCACTCCTTCCAATTCTGAAACGAACATATGATACTGCTCGTTTCTAGGTAATCATTTTTACGATTCACAAAACTGGTCAACTTATTTTCAATAGCACTTGAGCCTCGAAACTGCACTGAGGCTTCATTTTGTCATAAAGGAGAGTGCGAATTCTCTTATGGATGACAAAATGAAGTATGAACTTGAATATAGCAGCCGCTATTGAGGGGGAAGAGTGGGGAACTATAGTCTTGAAAAGTATGGCGACGCCTAAGTGAGCATGGTGATAACGAAAGTGACATTAATTTGAAAAAAAAAAACCATTGAGACTATCGATTTTGCCGATTCTTTACAAGGCTTGATCCGAAGAACTGATAGTTGATGCAGAGGGGTATGAGCATGCTGACTACGAAAGCATAGTGGGAGCAGGAGCACATAGAAATGGGACAGGACAGGGTGATGTAGTACAGATTTTGGAATGGTGAGCTTTATCATAGCGGATTGACAAGCTGAGCGGAGCTGGTTGTGCATCTAGCTTGCCATAGATACCCTTTTTCTTCCTGATCAGACATTGACCAGCAGTCACGTTGGACATTCAAGAAACGAACCTCCAGCAGTCCTTTGTGGACAGGCTGCGAAAGTTTCCATTTTTAATAAGTGTGACGTTAAATTCCTGTGAACTTGTCCAAGGTTGACCTTTAAACTTTGTAATAACAAACAAAATCCTTAAAAATGCTGCCAACATTTCTTGTTAGGAGAAAGTCTGCGTTGCCTGAGGAATCAGCGGTTTTTCCTTCGTAGCTTTCGATCAAACCTCTTCATCTCGAAAAAACAGTAGATCCAATTACTGCGTAAGGATAGCATTGTCAAAACACCGAGAGCTGATTTGTTTGCTGAGAAGACACCGGTCTCTATATGAGTTTCTGGGACTTCAAAGCTTGGACTCGCAAGCCAGAATGGTCAAGGAGATTGAAAACTTTAAAGTACTTTAGTACCCGCGAGAATTGGTAGAAGATGGCCGTTGTCCGCACTCCTCGACACGTGTATGCAAAATATTGTATATATGGGGTGTCCATAAAGTATGTATACACTGTTTGATCGTTAATATCTCTTTTCTGAAAAAGTATTTTGCCTTGCTTTAGGTACCATTTTGTAGAGCTGGCTTCAGCTTAAATTTGCAGTGTGAAGCGTATCATCCATCTCTCTTCTTTACTGTAGGATTACGATGGAAACTTCAAATGGGGTTTTGAACCATGAAAGGCCATATTTTGCCTCAAAAAAGAAACAAAACAACCTGAAAACTCTTATACTAGGCTAACTAGAGTTTCTGATTCTAATTGTGAAGTTCCCAACTCAATATGATGCTTCATTGAAGAGTTATGCCAGGTAAGATGTAGCGGCCATTTTTTCAATGTTTCTAAAATGTGCGGTTACGCCGTTTCGAAAGCTTCACACTTGTGAATAGTTGAGTATTAAACTCAGCGTCCATAAAAACCCTATCACACAAGTTTTCACGTTTATTGAGAAATTTTGAAACGGCAGCTTTTTCCACATTGACATCATATGTTTCAAGTTTCTACCATAATACCCTACAGTAATGAAGAAATGGGCGATTTGTTCTATACTGCAAATCTAAGTTGAAACTAGCTCTACAAAGTGGTACCTGAAGCAAGGTAAAAGATTTCTTGGGAAAAGAGATATTCAGTGTATACATACTTTACCACCCTGTATATTGTAAAGAGTGCGCATACGTATTGCCTTGTTTCAAGGACATTCTCTTCAAAGTATTGTAGCAGTGAAAGAGAATTGGTAAATTTGAAAAATTCAATAGTTTTTTGAGCAAACTTATTTAAACAGACAATAATCTGAACAAACCTTAGACGGGCATCTTTCCAGCTTTCTCGGAACGTCAACTGAACACTGTACTCCATGTTTACGTTGTCGATTTTTGATATACTGAAAAGCTTGTGTACAGCCATTTACGAGCAGTGATGCGAAGCTCCAAAGCTTCAAATGCAGTTGAAAACTTTTGATTCATTACTGTACCTGGCGTTGTACCATTACTCACTGTGCTGTCAGTCTTAATCCAAAAATGACAAGATCAAACACAGTGTATGCCCTACGCTTGAACTTGATATTGAGACAATAAGTTTGAGCGTTGAGATTGAAAAGGTGGGTAAATGTGGAAGAGGGGAGGGGTAGGGGTAGTACGATGGTTCAAGCTTACCAAAGAACCCAAAATCGTTTCCATGTGCTCTCTTCTTTAAACCTCGGCATTTGGTTGACTTTGTGTTTTTGATTTTGTGCCAGAGAGGTTTTTAAGGTGGACCTTTATTGCCTAATGTTTCGACAAATATCGTCTTCTTCGGAGGCCTGAAAGGGATTGCTGTTTTGTATTCGACAGTCTATACGACCAAAAGCCTCTTATAACTTCCGGCGTTTAGACCTCGTCTAGGCTCAACGTACTGGAAAACAATCTGAAGTGTAGTCACCAACCTTCAGTCCACCGCGGAGTTAGTAGTCCGCACGACTGTGACGGACATCACTGAGGGGTGCTCAGTGAGTCAAAGCTATACATACAGTCTGCGGTTATAGATGACATAATGATATGAAGGAGAGGAGGTCACTGTCAAGCATTCATTTTTGTTATTCATCCCCGGATTTCCGGCGGATATCCTGCTGCCTCTAATGTCTTTCTTGCCGAATTTTCAGTCTCATACGCTAATATCGTGCATTTTACATTGAAATCGTCACCTTTATGTGCCTCGACTCTATGTTTTCCTAATGGTGATGACATTGTACCCCGCTTTTTGCTGGCCAGATGTTCCTTCAACGAACGAACGAAACGAACGAAACAGTGTTATCGAGTCTTTCGACGTAACATCACTTTACACTAATGTCCATAACAGTGCCGCTCTGGAAGCCATTTCGGAGATGCTAGACAAATACTATTGCACTATGGTCACTTTTGGGCTGAGCAAAGCGTGCATACTGACCCTCATTAAAGCATGTTTGAGTTGTAACATTTTTAAGTGGTCTGTTAATTACTACTCTTAGATCAGAGGACTTGCGATGGATCAAAGACTCGCGCCAGTCCTGGCGATTTGTTTTATGAGTAAAATTGAGGAGCCAGTATTAGTACGCTTGCCATCAATGTACTGTCGCTACATCGACGACTGCTGCGTTATCACCTCAACACAGTCCGAAATGGACGTATGTTTTAGAATATTAAATCAGCAGTCCCAGTACATAAAGCTTACACGAGAAACCCCGCACTGTGGCTGGCTTTCTTTTCTAAACATCCGGGTGAATTTGTCTGACGGCACAGTTCGAATCAAGTGGTACAGAAAAGAAAGCTCCAAAAACATCTTTGTCCACGCCACGTCAGCGCATCCTACAGCTCTAAAGCGTTCCATTATCCATAACATGCACAAAACCGCTGCAGAAGTCTGTACGGGCGAGATCGAACGATTAGAGTCACTACAACTAGCACGCAAAATTGCTCGCAGCAATGGATACATAAAGCAATCACGGCAAAGACCATCTAGATGCGTAAGCGAATCTAGGCGGAGTAACTACAACAAAATTCCCCTTTGCATGCCTGTTGTATCCGACAGATTTAGTGAGGCCATTAAGCGATGCATAGCACAAGCACAGTTACAGAACAAAGTAATGCTGGTCAACATTCCTAGCAATACTATCAGAAAGCGGTTGATCAGAAATAGATTGTATGATACAGACTGTATATCTGAAAACTGCATCGTTTGCCCATACGGGAAGTTAGGTGATTGTGCAAAGCAGGGTATTGTTTACCAGTTAGAGTGCTTAAGTTGTGGAGCAACTTATATAGAAGAAACCGGAAGGATACTAACAAGGAGAGGATACTTAGTCGAAAGCACCAATCCAGATGAGACATATATCATCTTAAAGCGCTTGAAACGCTGATTCTAAATCTGCACTTTTTAGCTGCGGAGCGGTTTTGTCGAGGGAGTTATGAGGGTTGTTTCCCTCTAGGGTCGAGGCGCCCTCCACCATGTCTCCCCTACCTATAGGCACCGTAGAGGATTACCAGCTGGTGGCAACTGGCCTCATGGTAAGTAACTTGAGTGAAGATTTACATAGAGATCATAATATTCGTATTACTTTGGTTTTTTACCACTTCTATAGCATCAATATCATCAAAAATTTCAAGCGTTAGAGCTTTGAAGCCATTTAGAGGCTCATTTTTGCAAAAAAAACTGAGACAAAGTTGCGTGCGAAGAGGACTAAGACCTTGACACTCTCTTTATCAAGCATGTCACTGACCACTAGGTCAGTTGCCACCAGTTGGTACTCCTTTACAGTGCTTATAGGTAGGGGGAGAAATGGTGGAGGGCGCCTCAACTCTAAAGGAAACACTCCTCATAACTCCCCCTACAAAACCGCTCCGCAGCTAGAAACTGCAGATTTGGAATCAGCGTTTCAAGCGCTTTAAGACGATATATGTCTCATCTGGATTGGCGCTTTCGACTAAGTATTATCCTCTCCTTGTAAGTGTTAGATTGAAGGAACATCTGGCCAGCAAAAAGCGGGGTACAATGTCATCACCATTGGGAAAACATAGAGTCGAGGCACATAAAGGTGACGATTTCAATGTAAAACGCACGATATTAGCGTATGAGACTGAAAATTCGGCAAGAAATACATTAGAGGCAGCATGGATATCCGCCGGAAATCCGGGGATGAATAATAAAAATGAATGCTTGACAGTGACCTTCTCCCCTTCATATCATTATGTCATCTGTAACCGCAGACTGTATGTATAGCTTTGACTCACTGAGCACCCCTCAGTGATGTCCGTCACAGTCGTGCGGACTACTAACTCCGCGGTGGACTGAAGGTTGGTGACTACACTTCAGATTGTTTTCCAGTACGTTGAGCCTAGACGAGGTCTAAACGCCGGAAGTTATAAGAGGCTTTTGGTCGTATAGACTGACGAATACAAAACAGCAATCCCTTTCAGGCCTCTGAGGAAGACGATATTTGTCGAAACATTAGGCAATAAAGGTCCACCATAAAAACCTCTCTGGCACAAAGTCAAAAACACAAACCCAGAATCGATTTACTCGAGGGCATTAGGTTATCTAAAAAGTCTTGAAAGTCGGTATATCCTTAACTAATAATTTCTGGAAAAACTGTTAACATGGAAGCAGAATTTATTCTGAATTTGCTTGACTCGCTAACTCGCTTAGAAAACTTGCCGGCGATGAACATTCATAAGGCAAAAAAGTACTAGCCTAAGGCGAACCTCCCTCGATTTTGATCGCTGCGCGACCCAGCACTGCAACGATTCTTCATAACTGGTCGTAAGTGCGCCTTGATTCGCTCAGAAATGCTGCGGCAACTTACAAAAGCCAAGCGCCTATACTTTTACCCGCGCACGGTTGACCTAAAGACATTTGGCAAGTGCCAAGTCGCTGGGATGTAGCGATTTGAAGGAACGGGAGACATGTAAAGACATCTGGCAAATGCCAAGTCGCTGGGATGTAGCGATTTGAAGGAACGGGAGACATGCCTCAGGCCTCAAACTTAGATGACCCACTAAGACATATCGACATCTACAGCTGACCCTGTGCTTGGACCAGTCCCAACTATTACGGATGACGAAGATAGAACCGAGAAAACACGAATAACGGTAACGCGAGAGGCACCGACGGCATTCCCAACGAATTCTGCAGCTAATGTGGTTAAGCTGGAGTTACATGGCTAATACGACTTCTCAATCGCATGTAGAGGTAGGAAGGCGCCAAATGACTGGTGTAATGATAACAATAAGAAAGAACAAAGGCGACGTAGCTGACTGCTTGACGTATCGGTCCAACCGTCTTGTATGCCTAACCCGGTAGATCTTTGAGAAATTCGAAAGCACGACTGCGTTGCATCGTAGCTAATCTCTAACCAGTGCGGAATAACGGAAGAATGCAGCGCAACGGATGCTATCCACACTGCCAGGGTGAGATGGAAAGCAGCATGAAACGGCAGTGCAAGCTGCACACAGCGCCTCGATCTGGAAAAGGCATTTGATAAGTTGCCGCTTGCCGCACAGCATCATATGGTGCTCACTACGAAAGCACATGGTGTCGGCAGCACACATGCAATGATTGAGATAGTATATGAAGATGTCAGAAGCCACATACGCACAGCAGCAGGACCATCAAGAAGTTCAAACGCCGAGGTTCATCGTACTTTCGCAATCTCCAATTCATGACGATAGTAGATTCGATGCTTAGAGAATTTATACGTCAACACCAATGAGCATTTATGTACGCAGATGGTGTGGTGCTGACGGCAAGGAGTGGGAAAGAGCGAAAAGACGATGTGCAGAAGTGGAAGATTCAGTTGAACAAGCATTAGATATAGACAGCATTAAATCCCATATATACGATTAAGAAGTCGTATATCCAGAGAAAAATCCTTGAAGAACAGGTACTCAATGGGATCAACGCAGCCTGGTCAAAGTGGAGCCTCACTCGACCTCAAGTCCTATCCAACAGAAGAATAACTCGAAAGCTCAGGTCCCACATGAATCGTATGCGATAATCCGTCAAACTTCACTCTACGCTGCACATGCGACTATGATCGAAGTCGGTGTAATGGAGATGAGGTTGCTATAATGGGCCATTGGATCTACCATGTTAGATGTGAACGAGACCATATGAGGTGATGGAGGTCGTTCCTAACGTTAAAACGGTACATAAGAAGCATTTACGCTGGACACTCGGATAGTAAGAGAGATGAAAGACACATGACTAGGCTCACCAAGTCACCGAGAAAGACCCGAACTGAGATGGATGGACCTCGTCAAGTTAGGCCGAGAGAGCTTAGAATAGACGAGAACCAAACAACTTCGAAAAAAATGGAAGAGACTTACAAAAGTGGCAAACTCCTTTTAAACGTGAAGATGCAAGGATAGAAAAAAACCTAAATTCTTTTGAGAATTCCAAACTACCGCGACAGCTAAATTATACTGTCTGCAGAGGTAGAGCTTTGCAAATCTAGACATCAACTTCTTCCCCCAATTGCGCATCGAAATCAAAGCAAGTCTCAACCGGATGGAGCAATGAGCAGGGAAACCCATATGTGATTCAAGAAAAGATCCTAAGTAGACTAATGTATGCGTTAGGAATCGAGACAAAGATTTGGATTTCGAAAGTGCGCTTGAGAAGCAGGAATCAGACCTTTCCCTACATGTCGTAAAAAAGAAAACCTTATTCACTCAAGAAGTTATACATCTGCAGATTAACATAATTATTTCCAAATACTGTGTGCACTTTGGAAATCATATTCTATAAAAGAACTTCAAGAGATACGACCACCTTAGTGATAGTACAATGTGCGTTCTACAACTCATCACAATGCAGTCTAGACTGACCTCAACCGACTGCAGAAATAAGGATGAGAATAAAATACTTTTGTCATTGGTCTCCCAAAACAATGGCTTGTTTTCGACACACACATTTTCCAAGACACCTTCAGAGCTATACAACATTACTTTAAGCCCATAATTCTCACTACGGAAGAATGTTATTAGGTCGTAAAGAAAGTTCCCGGGCAGTTTAAGAAATTTCATTTCTAGGGCCGCATGCATTAACATCCTCGCCGGGAAGGGTTCGCCGCTTCAGAAGAATGCTTCATATCCTGAAGCTCCAGATATCTGGATTTCACGCTGTCACTGTCCGTAAATATTCTCACCAAACTTCACTATGAACATATTGAACGGGAGCGAGAAGCTGTATCTAAGCCGCATTTCCCAAGTTGTTTTCTGATTCCCTGACGATCCGCGGTGACCGACCCTCTTTTCTTTAGAGTCATTTTTCTTTTTTCGAAGTCAACGAAAACAATCCAGAGTTGTCTTACCTAACCCAACAGTGCTAAGCATGTTGCTGATAAGAACAAATTTGTTTTGTAATATCTATTTTTTGAGAAACCCCAACTTTTGACTTGTGGTTCATCGCAAATTTCATGACTTCGAAACATCACCTGTTCTTACCAGGAACATGATTAGCACTGTTGGGTTAGATGAACAGCACAACTTTGGAATGTTTTTATTGACTACGAAACAAGAAAAATGACTTCAAAGAAAAGACGGCCGGCAGCTGGGGTTCACCAGGGGACCATGCAAGAAGCTGGAAAATGCGGCTTTTTCAGCTTCTTGCTCCCGTTTAGGATGGTAGTGAATGGTATTGGGAGTACTTACAATTAGGTAGACAGCGTGACGTCCAGATATCTGGAGCTTCAATATATGAAGCTTTCTTGTGAAGCTGCGATCACCTCCCCGGCGGGGATGTTGATGCAGCGACCCTTAGGGCCGCATGCACTAACATTTCCGCTGGGGAGGGGATCGCAGCTTCAGAAGAAAGCTTCATATCCTGAAGCTCCGGATATCTGGATTTCACGCTGTCTACCTCGTAAGTACTCCCACCATCCTTCACTACGAACATAGTGAGCAGAAGCGAGAAGGTACAAGCTGCATTTCTCAGCTTTTTGTAGGATCCCCTGACGATCCCTGAGGAACGAACATCTATTCTTCAAAGTCATTTTTCTTTCTCCGAAGTTAACGAAAACCTTCCATAGTTATACTGTACATCTAACACAACAGTGCTAAGCATGTTGCTGATAAGAACGAATGAATTTTTGAAAAATCGAATATTTCGGTATACCCCAAATTTCGACCTGTAGACCATCGAAAATTTCATGACTTCAAAAGATCATTTGTTCTTATCAGCAACATGCTTAGCACTGTTGGGTTAGATAATCTGCACAACTTTGGAGCTTTTTCGTTAACTTCGGAGAAAGAAAAATAACCTTAAAGAAAAGCGCCGGGGATCATCAGGGATCATACAAAAGCTGGAAAACGCGGTTTGTACAGCTTCTCGCTCCTGTTCAGCATTTTCATAGTGAAGGATAGTAGGAATACTTATGGATAGGTACACAACGTGAAATCCAAGTATCTGGAGTTTCGAAATATGAAGCTTTCTTTCAAGCTACGATCCCCTCCCCGCTGCCATGTTAGTGCATGCGGCCCTTAGACTCATTTTTACGCCCTCGATTAAAACATAACGACGAATATTTCATATGGTTCTGTAAGAAAAACCTAAGCTTTCCGGACTCGCATTCAGTTTTTGTTGATGTCAAGCCGTGTTTGATCTACACATTAAAAAAGAAAGTCTGTGCAACGATGAAAATTTCACAGTTTCTTTTTGCTGTTTTTAGCGAACAAAAATAGTCATTCAAGGGTTGGTCAGTCTGAAAGGCTGTCTGCTTTGAAACGGGAAAAGGAATCTACCCGATAGGCTAGCGTGTATGATAATCCTGCACAGCATCCGCGATTTTTTAGGAATTATTTGGTGCAGCATTCAATTTCCTGCGGCCTGTATGCCAGAAATCGTTATCCTACAGCAACCAAGAAAGATCGTTGACCCGCTCTGCACTGTAGTCCACTTGTAAGTTGAAACTAGATCCAGAGCATGATAGGCAATAGGTCCGCTCAAGACGTCAAGGCAAGAATTATTTATTGTACAATCAAACACGGTGTGCATTTTTCGGGACACATTGTATAAATGATATAGAGTAAGACAGTGCGTGACTAATATAAGAAATTGAACTGTCCTCCATCCTTTTCTCAAGCAGGAAGCGGTTCATTATTTTCCTTATAAATGATTGTTCGAGCAAGCTAACACTCAAAGGTTCGCTAACGCTTCGCTTCACCTGAAGCCCAAGGCATAACTCACGCGATTTCGGTCGCCACGCGATCTGACGATCCGCCAGGTGTCGTTAAATTCAATACTGGTAGACCCCAAAGGCATGGCTATAACCTTCGTTGACAAATGGTTGATAAAATGCACTTTCTTCCGTACATTCAAAAACCCCTTACGATGAGTTATGACCGATTGATATTGCCAAATCGCGCCGCGATTGAAAACGGGTGAGGTATGTTCTGGGCCTGAAGGGTAATATACCTTTTTCATAAGCGCTGTTATAAGCAGGGTTCAAGTAAGGAGGTACCCATTTGCGGAAATATAGTGAATCTGTCTTTTAGGCCTATTATTGAAAATTTTTGAATTAGCATACACATGAAAAATGAAACCTGCCTAAGCAATTATGACTTCTTAGAGTTTCTCCTGCGGCGAGGTGGGCCTTACGCTGAATGATTTGAAAACCAAGGAAGTTAAAAAGAGAATTACCTCCTTATTAGCATGTTCACGGAAACGTATACTGGACCGCCATTAACAGTTCCTAGATCTAAAATTTGAAAGAATTACTTAGAAGAAGCCTTTTTATTCACATATAGTAGTAAATGCGTTAAATGCTTATCTGCAGTTAACACCTTCAAAACTCACCATCTTCACCTGGCGGCCTGACTCGCCAATCGTAACCTTTGCTGAGCAGTTTCTCGAGTAGTTTCGTGCTCGCAGATTGCGGTTGTTCAATAGGTTTTCTCTCCTTAACGTTCCATTTTTACCAATTCAATATGTGGGGTCATTTTTCTATCCTACCTCTACCCGCAAGCGTGCAATCTTTTCAAGACTGGTCGGAGAATCATTTATCTCTTCGGGAAGTGATGTCGTTTCCTCTACGTTTGTGTCACCGTTCTCAAAAGTTGGATCTTCCTTCTCGTATCTTCAAATGCAGTTGAAATCATTAGTACATTAACTTTCTTTCTCAAGACGAAACAAGCATTAGAAGGAATCTAACACAGTTTGGCAAATCTTACTCAAATGAGTCTAGATCACCAGCAAGAATCTCGTCCAAATCATCCACTTCTAGAGCCTCCTGCGACGATCGCGGTCTAAGTCGTTGCTCGGCAAAGCTGCCATTTTGCCTCGAGTTGTCTTCTTCCTAAAGCAGATAAAATTTCCTACTACAAACGACTACCAGATATCAACTGCACAACCAAATGATAACTTAAATAAGATCCTGCTTCATAACTCAGTTCAGTGAGCTAAGGAACGATTCTTCGACACTAAGGGAATTTTTTCTTGCGTTCAGCGAAGTGAAGTTGACATTGGCAGCATTGTGCAAATATTCGCGCATATCGGATTCGCCGCGCTGATGAATAAGAGACACTCCATTTATCACACCCGCAGAAAGCAGCATTTAACATTACTCAGTGTAATTACGAAAGTCCAGGAATGGGTCAGGGCTGGAAAACAAAAGCAAGAATAAGAAAATGAACGGTGTTATTGCAACCTGCGCAAAACGATGAAGTCTCGGACGATTTAGTGCTGGTAGAGATAAGAAGAAATGATGAATTTTGGTAAATGATAAAAACAGGACATAATATCAGGCTCCGCTTTGATTGGATATACACAAGACCTCGTTACAAAGATTATATAGAAAATGATGAGACTGTTTATCAGTCCAACTCAAACTATAAGCAGAGCAACTCCAGCTCCCACACAAACATACAACATACACACGAAAGTGCAAGTAAAGTGCGTTGGCTCTGAAAATCCTGGAGAAATTTAATTCTCTGTGTTCCCACGCGGTTTTGCATAATAATCACACATACGTCGGCGGTGCCTTATTTTTTTAGCAGTGAGGCAGAAGAGATGTGTTTAGGAATAAACTTACATGATTCTGAGAGTGCGAGGGGGGGGGGGGAAAGAATCAGGTTGTGCCTGCTGGCAGGTCAATTCATACACGCCTGTCTGGAACGCAAATCCACCATCAATCCGCTGCCGGTGGTTTCGAACCCCAATTGTTGTTTGCGAAGCACATATTAGGGCCTAATATGACCCATCAATGCTACTTCCTGCCCACTCAAGCTGCTGGTAGAAGTAATTCGTATTTTAATCAGACAATGCGCTTTGTCTCTTTGAGTCGCGCAAAGAAATACTCTTAGAAGAATGCACCTTTCAACGATAAAAATTTTGCGGCAAATATGAGTCATGGAAGATTATCACCGAGGATATTGAACATCGGTACCTACACTATATGCTTTTGTGGTCTTCTTTGTTGCTCAAATATTCGCTCAGATTGTGCACCAAAGGGGGAAAATTAGTGCATAACCCAGAAAGTTGGATTTCATTTCGATTTTTATGTTCTGTTGAGCATCCTTTGCCTGGAGGTGGTGCGCAAAGCGCAAATGAATGCAGTGAAGATGAGGAGTGACGTTATGCGTGGAAATTGTGGACAATGGAAGCGACTCACTTGAACGGCTCTTTTGGTGTGGATGCATACAATAAGAATAGACCGAGTGTAAGAACTATCGAGGAAAACATAAGAATGCTCGAGTTCACATAATGAACAGAGAAGTAAAAGCTGTTGGGAGGAGGAAAAGCTTGTCGAATGTTAATAATTCTTTTGTCGATGTTGAGCCGCACACTGGCTTAATGAATACTGTTTCGACCTTAAAGCAGAAAAAAAAACTTTTGAAATGCAAATGACAAGAAAATTTGAAATGACTGAAGAACAAGTCGGACAAAAACACTGAACTAGCATAACTGAATATCACATCTTTGGCACAATGTTCGACCTACCACTACCACGGATAATATAAATAAATATTTGGATGCTCTGGATATAATGTATTTAGTTAGTTCAATCCGAATCTGTGAGTTCGTTACTAATAGTGGAAATGAAAAGTACGACGCTTTGACTTGAAAGGATACAGATATAATGATTACAAGCGCAAACGTCATAGCTACGGTTATCGAACGTGCTTACCAAACCTCGTAAAATTATTATGCAATAGCATGTCTTTGATTTCAACGACCCTATAAGAAGTGATGTGATGTTTTCTCTTCAGCTTTCTTCAAATTTACGACAACGACGCTTCAAATATTCACATCCTCTTGGCAACGCCATTACCTAATCGTGCTTTCCAAAGGATGTAATCCGATGTGAAAGGAAAAATGTTGTCTTACCTTTGCATCGTAAAAAGCTAATTGTTGACCTTGATTGGTCAGCGATGAGATAGCGATATTTCCGGTACCGTAAGATCCTTTGCCACCTCTCATGCGAGAGAGGCTTTTCGGTGGCTTTTCAGATGATTCTTCTACTCTGAAATTCAAGTTTTTGTTTTAGAGCGGTGGAAAATAATAACTAACTGAAGTTGTTCCTGTATTTTACCGAATTTGCATTACCAGACCCAGTTTGGCTTTGTTTGATTGCCACAAAAAGAATTCGTCAAGAAGGCAAGTATGCACGTATCTTGCAGTGAATGGCTGACGAAAAGAGCAGGTTGAAAATTGTCAGAAATGAATAAACCTTCAATTGGCGATAAGCATGCCTTACCATTGGTTGCAGTAATTCTGGCAGACTTCTTCATTTCTGTCCTTGAAATCCAAACACCAATCAAAATCATAAGGATTGATGATTTTTTTCAGCAAGCGGCCAATCATATGGGAAATTCACAAAGATCTTCAACTGCGTAAAACTGAAGGCTCATTCTTCAATATAATCTACTATGCCCCATCGCATTATAAGCATATGAGATGCACATATCTGAGATATGAATCAGAAATGAGATGATTTCTCTATTTATAAGAAATGACAGCCGAGCGATGAGAAAATTTGCAGATTATAATCAGGAACTCAAAAATCAATATATTGAGATAATTCTCGCTTGAGCCCAACTTGCCAAATTTTTATGATGGGGTCTGAGGCTTCTTTGGTGGAATAAAAGCGTAAAGATCTGGTGTAGGAGAATTCAAATGACTATAACGATTTCTTATTGTGTGCATAAGTAGAAGCCAATTTTCAAGGCGGTGTCCGAATAAAAAGCCATTTTCCGTTGATTTGAATCCCTTGGAGGTATCCTAAAAAACTCCAAATATTCTAACTATAAATCTTTCTAGGCACCTTCTCTAAATCGGTTTTCCCGTTCCCCTACCCAAATACCGCAGAAGTTATACTCAAACTGCTTTTACTCAAAATAGGGGAGGGAGGGCGGCTGATCGTGGACAAATCGAAGCACTACCGATCTATCGATATTATTTGTTTCTTCAGAGATGTCTTTATGTTTTTGTCAGTATCAAATTAGGTTTCGCCAATGTGCCAGCAACGCTGCGACTTCTGATGGCCCGCCAAACCTATCATGCAAAGAAAAGAACTCACAAGGCAAATATTAGAAGAAACACTCGAATCAAGAACATGCAGATACACAGAGCACTCGGAAGGGGCGTGCGACACAGCCGGCTTCGCGGCAGCTAGCTAAAGCAGCGGCGAAGGAGCTCACGCAGAGCACACGCGCATCGAGAATCGAGAACGAGTTGCAGTTCTTTTGCAGTTATGCAGGCTACTGTACGCAAGAATGTCCTTAGCTTTTGTGCATTTTCATCCTTACAATTTGGTAAGAATATGCGAATCTTGAAAACGAAATCATTAGATCGTCCCAAAAGGTAAAAACTCTTTCGAATAAATCAAGCTGTTTTTATTTTCCTAGCGGATACAATACATTTGATAATGCGAAGCAAGCTCAGCAAAACGATCAACAAAGATTTAGATAAGTTGTACTCCAGGGGCGGTATTTATCGATCTCCCACTCGCTGTTTGGGCCATTGTTAACGAGAGCCCGGCAAGTCAACCCATGATTTATCAAATAATCCGATCTGGCAAGTTTTGGCCATGTCGGGCACGACAGTAGGGCAGCAAAGCCAAATCTCGACGGCTCGGGTTCCGCTGCTCGGCGCCGTGCCCGACTGCCGTGCCCGACTGCCGTGCCCGACTACCATGCCCGACTACCGTGCCAGACATGGCCAAACTTGCCAGATCGGACCTTATTCGTTAATAGACAGGAGCTTGATCACCAGTTTGTTGATAAATACCGCCCCATGAGTTTGAAGTTAAAAAATTGAAAATCTTCGAACCTCCGCCTCAGAAATCGGATCTCCTCCCAGAAGTTCCTACGAATCTCTAACATGCTCATTATACAGTAGAGACATGGTAGTACCCAAAAATGCATTTGCTGAATTTTCGGGTCTCAAATTCAAGAAATAAAATTAGGCCGAAAATGCAGTAATGTCACATTTTTCAGATATTTTGCGTTAAACTTGGCATTCCTAGACTACCAGGGCAAGTACAGAAATAGAATCCAAGTTTATACTTACTGAGGCTTGCAGTATACAATAGCATATTGTGCGAAGAGCTGTGGGAGTTTGCCATTTTTGGGCTATCTCTTGATTTCTATGTGCAGAAAAATCCAATAAATAAATTTTCGAGCACTACTATGTGCTTACCATATAATGACCACGTTGGATCGGAGTTTTTTCGCAAAAATTCATTTCCACACAATGATATTTTCATCGATTTGGGGCCCAAATTTTAGGTGGATGAAGACTTTGGGTCTTTGAGGTTATTTGGTAAAGCTTGCTTTTTTTGCTTTATTGAATGGTTTCATAATTTCGCTATAAACGACAGCTTAATTCAATTAGAAAACGATTTACTTTTGGGACACCTTAATAACTACTGTGTTTAAGAAAAACTCTCTAGATGAAATTTGAAAAAATTTTTGAATTTTGAAATGACCATCTTTTCTGGCTGACAGACATACGCCATTAAAGAAGTAGATAAAGAGTCCTGCAAAGTTGTGTTAATGTTCGCAGTTGACTATTGTTCCAGGACACAGCTTTTTACAAACTGGCACGCAGCCTTTTGAAAACGTGTGCCTAGCACCCATATATTAGATGGATCCACCTGAACAAAAAAAGACGTTTTGGTACATGTATTTCTTAAAAATACATTCAATGAGCATTCTATTCAATTATGTATTAGGTCGTCCCAAAAGTTCTGTCGCACCATTTTCAAAAAATCATAACTTCTAATTTTTCCAACTGATCTTGCTTCAATTTTTGTATGAAAGAGTAAGTCATGCTTTTTATAAAGACATCTTAGCTGCTTACTAACGGTCATTAGTTGCATAGATAGGAGCGATAGAAGAAGTTAGTCAAACTTGAATTTTCTGTATAGGGTCACAAAATATCTAAGACTTGCAAAAAAATCTGAGCACTTGGTATATAGGTTCTATTACCTGCTTTTTTTAACTGTGCAAAGTTTGCGCTGATTGAGTTCCTCTATGAAAAGTTATGATTTTCGAGCAAGGATTACAAAAGGACGAATTTGATTTTTGGGCATTTTTCAGGGAAATCGTAACTTTTCATAGAGACGCTCAATCAGCGCAAACTTTGCACAGTTAGAAAGAGCTGGTAAAGGAATCTGTAATAGTGACTGCTCCGATTTTTGTTGCAAGTCTCCGATTTTTTTACTCATTTTCTTTTACCACTCTTATCTATGCAATGGATGAAAATTAGTAAGCAGCTAAGATGCCATCATAAAGAGCATGACTTACTATTTTCTATAAAATTTAAAGCAAAGTCGGCTGGACAAATCAAAAGTTATGAATTTTTGAATTTGGTGCGAAAGAACTTTCGGGACGACCTAATATATCAGAATTTTTTTTCAGAACAGAATCATAGTGTCGAGTATAAAAGTCGAAAATTATAACTTTAAGTAAAAAATTGACCACTATGAAGTTCTGCGGTAAAAAGAGGCAGTAAAACTGAACCAGTGGCGTACCCAGGATTTCCGTTCGGGGGGGGGGGAGGAACAAAACAAATTTTCTGAAGAAGGTGCGTGGCGTGAGCCACCTTAGTCCAAAAAATTTTGGCATGCTTTCTAAAATCTTTGCGGGACCCCCGAAACAAATTTTTCCATAAGGCTGAATTGAATTATTGAAAAATTTAAAAAATAATTTTATTCATTCACAAGTATAAACAAGTCAATTGCACATGGTAATTATTCATATAAGTAACTCAAAAATTTGACCTATTCTCGGGGGAGGGGAGAGGCCCCTCGGTACGCCACTGGTAGGTTCCGAATAGAAAGTTTTAGTTCTGAACCCCAAACTTGGCCTACATACACTTCGAGACGGGAGGGGGGGGGGGGGGAGAAGGTGGGTGTGTAATAGGCCATTCTTCGTTATCGATCGACATCGATTCATCGATTTTTTTCACAAAGTTTGAGCTACGGGGCTAGGAGGTGGCACCGGAGGGGAGGGGGGCTATGAACAATTACGAAAATATCGCAAGAGCCAAGTTTGTTACCTAGTAAAAATAAAACTGGAATTTCGTAGATCTTATACTTTTTTAAGAACCAAATTAAAAAAAAAATACGTTTGTGTGTTCCTCTACAGCTTGTAGCACAGTGTTATAGAAAAATTAGTACCCTAATTTCACGCGTACAAGGCGCGGGGTGGTCCTAGCTTTCATCGACCAGCCCGAACATGGCAAAGGACTTCGCAACCAAAGGAATCCCATACCGCGCTGCGTTTTGCCTGACGAATCGTAATCGCGGCATAAGGATCGCTTCTTAAAACACGTTGGGGCGGCTGAGCAGCTCGATGAAAGCTAGGACCACCCCGCGCCTTGTACGCGTGAAATTAGGGTATTCATCTGAAAACCTTTCAAACTTTGCATAATTTTTCTCTTTTGACTTATACTGAGTTGAACAAATTCGACAAAAGGACATATAATTATTATTTTCCAAAAAATCTGATGCAAGACATATAAATCTACCTAATATCTTGGAACTCACACAGGCCCGGCACGAGGAGGAAATGTCAAGCTGAATTTGTAGTAAATAGGAAGCAAAGGGGATATTCGTAATAATGAGAAGAAAAGTTTTGATTCACAATGTGTAAATAACCAAAAAACTCCGTTTCGTTCTTGCCTTTAGATGGAGTAAAGTATTTACAGATCTCTCCGGAACTCATCAATAAGGAAGGAAGGTCTGTAAAGCTTATACAGTGCTGGCCAAAAGTTTGCAGCCACTCCAGAATTTTGCTATATCTTACTCTGTTTCGCATGAAACGATTCCAAATTATGACTTTACGTGCATTTCACACTACTTAATACTATGTCAAGAAATTTTGCAGTTACATGCACACCGAAGGGGTCTTTGGGGAAAATGGTGAAAACGGCTGAATTGAGGTTGGTCAAAACTTGCAGCCACTTTCTTCTAAATGTCTTTGAAAAACTTGTCACAACTTGTCACTTTCCAGTATTTGGGCTACAGATGCACCAATAAACCTTGAGATATGCAGTGCAGCCAGCTTTCATCAAACTCCCAAAAAGGGAACTTTACGGAGCAAAGTTGCTTGAGCGCAAATTGACCGCAAAAATTGATTAAATCATGAGGTTGTTGAGAAATCATCGGCTGATCTATGCTCCTATGAAAAGGTTGCACCATCTGGACGTTTAGTGGCGGTTTGCGAATGTGACAGAAAAGGCATTAGTTGGCATGTTTCAAAAACTACCATCACCTTAACTGAGATTCGGAGCACCTTTCGGCTCAAAAATTGGGCTCAGCGGTCTGAGAAGTTCTCAAACTTGGCTAGAACATTGCTTTGAGGAAGACGAGCATTGGTCCGGAGCTCGGAGAACTCTAATGAAAACATGGAGGCGCTACTGCCAGAAAAAAATTTGGACAGTCTTCACAGGTGCTTAATCCCTTTGGCAAATTAAACATTTCCTAGGTGTGATAATTGCAAAAAGTTTTTTCTGGCAGTAGCGCCTCCATGTTTTCATTAGAGTTCTCCGAGCTCCGGACCAATGCTCGTCTTCCTCAAAGCAATGTTCTAGCCAAGTTTGAGAACTTCTCAGACCGCTGAGCCCGATTTTTGAGCCGAAAGGTGCTCCGAATCTCAGTTAAGGTGATGGTAGTTTTTTAAACATGCCAACTAATGCCTTTTCTGTCACATTCGCAAACCGCCACTAAACGTCCAGATGGTGCAACCTTTTCATAGGAGCATAGATCAGCCGATGATTTCTCAACAACCTCATGATTTAATCAATTTTTGCGGTCAATTTGCGCTCAAGCAACTTTGCTCCGTAAAGTTCCCTTTTTGGGAGTTTGATGAAAGCTGGCTGCACTGCATATCTCAAGGTTTATTGGTGCATCTGTAGCCCAAATACTGGAAAGTGACAAGTTGTGACAAGTTTTTCAAAGACATTTAGAAGAAAGTGGCTGCAAGTTTTGACCAACCTCAATTCAGCCGTTTTCACCATTTTCCCCAAAGACCCCTTCGGTGTGCATGTAACTGCAAAATTTCTTGACATAGTATTAAGTAGTGTGAAATGCACGTAAAGTCATAATTTGG